ATCTCTGCCACTTTTATACCTAATACAATTCTTGCAGAAAAACTCTGTTTTGTGATATTTCATGCTTAAATTTGGTGATTCAAATTATTAGCAGAGATCCTGCTAACATCTTAGGATGAAAAATATGAAATTGCAATATATTAGGCCTAATGTCCAAGTATCAAAATCAAGAGCTCAAAATCATTCTCCATGTATAGCAATAAAATCAAGCTAGTGTAACAAGGTTTAAGGTTGACTTCAGGTTTGTTTATCTATGTCTCCAGTCATGTTAACTGGTCCAAACACGCTCTTGAAGTGTTAAGAACCTCTAAGCAATCTGTAAAGCTTCTACTTAAAAATTTTTTATTTGTAAATTTTCCTAGATATTAAAAGATTGAGCTTCTGTAAGTCTTCTGCAATTAAAAGGAGGCAGTTGTTTATCAGTGGATAGTTGGAATTGGGAAGAGATGGCGAGATAAGAATACGTTTCTGCTGAACGTGTGACAAAATTATAGAGTAGACATGTAATTGATGGAAGTAAATAGTTAGAAACTCTATCTCGTGAGACAATACCTTAGTTATGGGTTATGGGAATAGTAGGTTAACTTCTAGGATGGCTTTCACATATACTAAGACAGTGTTGCATTTATGGACAAGATGATCCTTTTTGGGTCCTTGCATATTTGGTTCTCTATATCCTTTGATTAGTTTCAGGCATTCGATCAGGGACTTTGTTTTAATTGTTGAAACATGTGAATAATTGTGCAACGGGGTGGAAACACACAGGACAGATATAGATGGAGACATTGGTCAAAACTAGCATGAATGAAAGTTAAGTTGATAATTATAGAGGCTAGGGGAATTAGGTTGAATGGAATGGTTCAGGTTTCTCATCTTCTGGATAGAGTATAATATAAAGTGAGATGTTTTAGTGGTGCTTTTTTGTTTAACATGTGGTGTCTTAGAGTGATAAGGATCCAAGAAGGTAGTGATTCAGCTATACGTGAACTTCCAGCAGCCCAAGGGAGGTGGTGATGAGATGCAATGTAATGCAACATACCTTATGCCAAAATCCCAATAATCTGTGTCCAGGGAGATAAAAGGCAGTGAGGAGCATGCAAATATGTGGCTGGTTTTCGGTCTTCTGAAACCTTCTTCCGCTCTTTTTGCTGTATGTGCTTTTCAAATGAAATCTTTTCTCAATTGAAGCTGTATGATAGTGAATATAGAATTGCCACTATCATAGCATGTTAAACATGCGCATTCTATACATCAGCTATTAGAAATGTGCGATTTAAGGTTCAGTATTAGTGGTCATTTATTGTTTTGTTCGGGGGTCACAAGTAACTACTCAATGCACGCAAAACCGAAACTTGCAACTTCAGTTTCTTAGTTCTATAAGTCTATCGACTTTAAGTGTAGCTTTACCAGAACTCCCTATAGAGCGCACATGATCTTATTCTCTCGTTCTGTTCAGACTGTAATAATTGTGTCCATTTTAAACTCTGGATCTGTACCAGCTATCTAGAATATGCTGCAGCTTCATTTTCTTACTTCTGTCCCGCTTTTGCCTTGAAGGATTTGCTGGATTTGTCCCCTGAGAAGGTGGAGAGCTATGAGCAGAAGTTGAAGAATTTCTACACAGAGCACATACATGCAGATGAGGAGATACGCTACTGTCTGGAAGGGAGTGGATATTTCGATGTGAGAGACAAGGAAGATCGCTGGATTCGCATCTGGATCAAGGCTGGTGATCTGATCATCCTACCTGCGGGGATTTACCACAGGTTCACTCTCGACACTGGGAACTATGTCAAGGTATGTAGAAACTTGAGTTTCTCTTTCAGTAAGCAGAGAAGAAAAGTTGGCTTGCCAGTGACATTAACAAAGATCACACAGAGTGCAGTTCTCTGTTTGAGTGCTTGTAAAATTTTCATAGTTCAAGCTCTATCGTAATCAATCAAGTGAATATGTGTGCAGTTGATGAGGTTGTTCGTGGGAGAGCCGGTGTGGACAGCTCACAATCGACCACAAGAAGATCATCCAGCAAGGAGGGAGTATATCAAGAGTGTTACTGAACGAGCAGGAGTGCCTCTTGCAGCACACTGAGACATTTGTTTCTTGTTGAATGGAGCTCGTGTGAAGCAGATTATTAAGAACTTGGAAATAGGATTTGCTGCATATTGCTGTAAGTTGGCATAGAATATCTTCTGTATATCTGGAGAGAGTGTAGAAAATATACTTATTTGAGGCAACAAATGAATATATTTGGACTAGGAGCTTAAGTTGGCCTCTGTTATCTAAATGAACTCCTAGTTGGTGAATTTATGCTATGTTCAGATATTGCCAATGGCCTGTGGTCACAAGGGCCAAAATATTTCCCTAAAAGTTGTATACATAAAACAAATACTCCTATGAGGTTTTTAATACATAATTAGTTATGGCCTTGATATATGAAGTTCCTATTTTTCCAAATGAAGATTTGACTATTAAAAGTCTTTAAAATTAGTTGCAACTTTATCTTTCATTAGGCATACAAACCAATCTTACTAAGATTTTCCCTTCGTCCACTATTAATACTTATCTCATTCAGACTCTAAATTCTTTTAAAAAGAGAAGTAGTTTTTTTGAAACTCTATCTTCCCCATAGGCAAGAATTATAATTTTTTCAAACATAAAGGTAATTCCTACTTTAGGGGATATAAAGGGGAATAGAAGGGAGAAACGAAAGAAAGAAAAAGTTGATGGCACGGAAAATTGCTTAAGATAAACGCATTATAGCTCAAAAGGCTTATTCCAAATTTTCAAAAGCTGATTGAATTTTGGACTGGAACTATCTTTGTAACATAATACAAATTGTATTTTAAGTTCAACGCTTACTAGCTAAAACAGTCTGTAAATACTGAAATTTGATCGGATGAAGTCCATATAAAATACTACTAGCTAAATCTTAAATACAAGAAGTATTGACTTAATTAAGCAAATATTCTGAGGTTAATAAAATTGAATTAAACTTAATTCAAATTATGCGATTTAAGTGAAATCTAATTTCATAATGCGAGGTTATTAAGCTGGACTCTACAAAATGTGCCAATCCACATATTTCAAACGTAAAAATCCTTTAGGGCTACTTGGTCACTATCACATAAAGTATATATATATATATATATATATATATATATATATATATATATATATATATATATATATCTATATTAACCAAGGCAGCATTTTGAGTTAACATTTTGACTCAAACTCAGAGCAGCTTCAAATGATATTGTACCTCTCGCAATACTAAATGGAAAATTTTGAGGAAGTTCGATTATTGCAAATTGTTAGTGAAAATTCTGATGAAATGTATTATTGAATAAAAATATTTATTGGAATGCAATTATTGTTAAAAAAACTTGCGTGATGTTTATAAAATATAATGTGAACAAAATTATTAATATAGAATTATTAAGAAACCTTAAAAACCATTCGTCAGTTGTTTAAAACAGTATCCCATCTCCAGTTAGATTGTTTATTACTTCATACTTAATTCGAAATTAAAAGTTGCATTCCCATGCGACATGACAATGTGATTAGCAGCCTTAATGGACCAGTTATTCATGGATTTGGTCAAAAAGTTAAAAGAAAAGCTTTTAATGAGAATTTTATTTACATTATAGTATAGATTAGTTGATTACTGAAAGTGAAGGTGTATCTGAAGTTACCAATAATAATAAACAAGACACTAGTAGGAATATATTTTAAAATTTCATCATGCCAGGGTGGATTCAATGCTTCACTGGTTTATCTAAAACCAATATTTTCATCGCGGGTATAATTTTTCTATAAAAATTCAATAAACATTTTATAAATTTTAGATCTCAATTCGTAATTTTAAAGATATAATAATAATTTAATAATAAGAACCTTAAAAATCAAACCCGTGATATTAATATCTTTGCATAAACGCCTCTGTTATAATGTATATGGCCTTTGAAGATAATGCGCATGGCCTTCGAAGAGCTGATAATGGAACTTTGCAATCCATTATAAATTCAAAAAAATTATAAAGAATTACTATTTGTTTGAAAAAAATATTTAGTATCTTTTAAAGAATATAAAAGTTGGTAAATATTACGAAGTTATTTTTGTCGCTCGACATTTTGCTATGAAACTTCTTGCTTTTGTAATAATATGAATAAATAGATTGTCTATTGCGTATTTCATATATATCGAATTCTAAGCATAATGTACATAGCACTAACTTATTGTTGAATAAATATTGCAACGTGATATCAAAAAAGAAGACTAAAGTAGCTTCAAATGATATTATCGCCTCTTCGAAAACTAAATGGATCTTTGATGAAATTGGATCATGTACAAATTGTAAATGAAAATTTTGTTTAAATGGATAATGGGATGCACTTTATTTAAGAAAAAAAGGAAGAAATTTATATTGGAGTGCAATTCTTTTATTATAAAATAACTCTAATTAAACCTTAAAAACCTTACATGAATTGTATAAAACAATAACTTCTCCTCCCACCTCCACTTAAATAGTGTTTAATACTTAAATACTAAGAGTTGCATTCCAATGGACAGTGACAACGAGGTTAGCAGTTTTAGTCGACCAAGTCTTCATGAATTTGGTTTAAAAATTAAAAAGAAAATATTTAATGAAACTTATATTTGTATTAGTATATAGATTACTGAAACTGAACGTGTTAGCAATAACTAAAAAATAGACACCGGTAGTAATAAAATTATGGAGATTCACACCCAACTAGCCTCGAAAAAGAAAAAGTCGGTTGACTTGGACTTTATAGTGACATGATCTTTAGTTTTTTGAAAAACCAAAGTTTTGAAAAAAAAGAAGTTTCCACTTGCGGGAAAGAAAATAAAAAGACGATGGACATTGATTTAAAAATGGTTCTCACTGCCACTATATATTTTCTTCTAGCATTTTACATTAGTATCAGATTTTCAATATTCGTCCACGTTCCAGAAGAGAGATTAGCAAATAAGGAAAGATGGTTTCTATTGCAACGGTATGTAATTGACAATTTTTCTCTTTCTATTTCCTTAATTTTTCATTGATTGTTCTTGGAAGGGATATAAAAATCTTCCTCAACTTTCATGGGTGTTTTTGTAGTTTCTTGATGCTATTTACAATGTTTATTATGCGTAATTTCTATTGGAATTATAGATAAACAAAGTAACATCCGATGCATGCAGTTTCATGCATGATGTATAAGAATTTTAGTCACACTATATAGTAAGTTATTATCCAATCACTTCTTCTCTTTCTACCAAATATTTTCATGTCCATAAAGTTACATTAGTGCACGGTGGAAAATTGACCATAGCTCTATAATAGTATTACGGGGTTGGCTTGTATTAGGTAAGTCCCAACCTGCTGTAGATAATAGAGATATCTTTTACAATCAAGAGTGACACTATACTATTCTCTTTTTTTCTTCCTAATTAGGAGGTGTGTTGGGTGGTACTTCAACTAACTTTTTGAAACTAAATACCTTTACTTGATCATTTTTTTCTCTAGCTAGCCAGATGTTAAGGCGCATTCTTTTTATTTTAAGATGGAATGAAGACTAATTGAAAGTTTCTCTACACAGATTTTAATTTCCCTTGCCTTCTTTTGTGGATTCGGGGTCTGTCAACTATCAGAAGTAGCTGTAAAGGATCCGAGAGAGGAAGTGATAGAGGCATGGTACATGTTTGTCAATCAGAGGCTTTCCCTTCACCGCCACCCTAAGGAATTTCTGTCTCTTGACAAGCTTGCTGGTAATACATTACGTTAATATATATTACTCCAACTGTTTCAGTTCATATGGTAATATTTTCTTTTTAGTTTGTTACAAAAAGAATAATAACTTTTTAAATTTAGAAAAAATTTAACTTATTGATAGTAGGTTATATTTATACAATTTAGACACTACTTACACTCTAATTTAGCCGCACTTTATTGATATTTGAATGCTAAAAGATAACAAAATGCTCTAATTAAGAATTTGATGCTTTGCAGGAGCTACTCCGAGCTAGGAGGGAGCTAACGAGTGTTTTGGAGTCAACATGGAGTGTGAAAGGCCAATCGAAGGTTAGCCCGGTCGAAAAGGAGCGAGAAAAGCAAGCGAGACGACCCCTCCAGGTGCGCGGCCGCGGAGTAGGCCGCGAATTGGTCCGCGAACTCAAGGCAGTGAGGCAGTGAAAATCTGCGGGTGGATCCGCGGTCGAATCCGCTGCCGCGGACAGGCGGACGAAAGCCAAACACGCAGGGTTAATTATGTAATTTCCTAGGCGACTAACGTAAACCTATATGAAACCTAAACTCGCCCATAAGTGGGATATAGCTGTTTTTAGAAGATTTTAGAGGCAAGAACGAGGGAAAGAAGACGGATAATTTCCTAAGAGTTTTCATCTTCTTCTTCATACTTCTATTTGTTGATTATGAATTATTTTAGTAATTTATTTTCCATTAGTATGAGTAGCTAAAACTATTATCTAGGGTTGATGGAACCAATTGTTGGATGAAGTCTTGACTCTATTTTGTTATAATTGAGCCGTGTTTGTTCTATGATTGTTCATCTACGTATTGTATTGTGGTTAATTGGAAGGGCCCTCGATTAATCGTATCTAGTTACCTTGTGTTGCTTGAGAAAGAACACTTGGTTAGATTGTTGTTGAACAACATCACTTTTGGGTAAGTTAAGAGATTAATTACTTGAATTTAAAAGTGGGGTTAGAAATAACGAAGCTTTGGTGGGATAATTTTGAGTGCATAAATTGTTAACTAGAGTAGTTCGAGAGAATGCTTCTAGTAAATTATCGTGATTGATCGAGAGGTAATTACGGTAGCCCGGAACTCATAATCCTCATAGAGTATTACGGCGAGATTATAGCTGAAGAATTGAGAATTAATCCGGCAATTGGGGAAATCAATAGCCCTAGATCCTTTTACCCTTGAATTCAATTTTAGTCTTGATTATTGCTAATTTTATTGTCATTTTTCCTTAGCTAAATAAATTCCCCTGATTATTCATAAAACTCTTGCATCCGGAAGTTGTCTGAGCTTATCATTAGCATTATTTAAAGTTGTAGTAAATAGGTTAGTTCCCTGTGGGATTCGACTCTGGATTTGAACCGAGTTATATTTGCAGCAACCGCTTAGTCCTTTTTACAAGGCATAGTTGGACATGATCACTTATTTTCTTAAATTTTACGCTTAATGACAGGTTTTTATATACTAAAATTTGATGTAAACCTTAATTATTAATACAAGTTGAAGTCCTAAATTGTCCTACTTATTTTCTTTAGTTACTATATGTGAAAATTTCGGAGCTTGGAGTGCTCAGCTGGAGACTTGATGCAGACAAGTATGAGAGAGTGATGAGGAGTTGAAGAAAATTCGAGAATCACGTAAATATCTTTACATGGTAAGTTGAAATTTACGTAAGCGGAAAGCATATAAGGCTCATAGTATTAATTGGCCATAAATACTAGTATTTCAAATTCTAAACGTCAACTTCAAATTAATACTCTTATTGTTCAATTTCAACTAAAATATTGTCCAAACGCTTACTATATAATTTCTTCAGGACATGATTGAGGTTTCCCCTAAACAAATAGGAAATTACGAGGAGATGATGAAATTCTTTGAAGAACATTGATGAGGAGGTCCGTTAGTGTCTTGCAGGAAGCGGTAATAATGCTAGACTTTATTAATTTGACTTTTCAAATCAATCTATCAACTATACAAAGTTTAAAATATGCATCTCTTCTTGTAGTAGGTTATTTTCATATTTTATCATTTATTTTATTATTTTTTGGATCAAATTAATTCAGTTGTCTAGAACAAATTTAATTATACCGTTTTTCGGGTAAACAAGAACATTAATGAGGAGGTTCGTTACTGTCTTGCAGGAAGCGGTAAGGCATCTCTTGACTTTTCAAATCAATCTGTAAACTATATATACTCTTGACATTGCTAAAATATATATGCATCGCTTCTTGTTGTAGGTTATTTTGATGTCCCGGATAGTAATGGCGCTTGGATTCGGATATGGGTAAAGAAAGGTGGACTCATTGTTGTGCCTGCTGGAATTTATCATCGCTTCACACTTGATTCAAGCAATAACATTAAGGTACTTAATAAGACCATTAATTCCTAAGCAAATGATGAAGAGCAGCGTGAGTGCGCGAATATTCATTTTTTTGAGTACGGGAAATCCCAAAAGGAGATAAAAATATAGTAGGATTTAGGAACTAAATTGATAAAATTAGACCACAATGAGTATATAACAATGATTACATCCTCATTGCGTAAATATTAACATAAAGATGTCAAAGATAAACAAAAATATTACCCAAAATTAAAAAATTTTAAAAACCTTCAATTGCAATCCAATGAGTTCTTCAAGAACTCAAAGGTGTCGGTAGAGTCTTACCCAAATTTATCAGCCAAAACACTACAGTGCTCCTATTTATTTTGTTGTTAGCTAAACAGAGAGTTTAGCCCCAGCCCCCAAGTCCAAATATACTAGACTATTAAAAGCTTTTCCATAACTAACGGAGTCGTAGGCTAATGGGGTATGTGAAATTTTACTTGAATTAAGCTCCAAGGGTGGTCAAATCCGTTTTCAATATTAGTCAAACTTTTTTAGTTCTTGATCAACCCTTTCGATCTTTTTTAATGATCTAATCTCGCGGTTATGTTATCGTCACTGCTCCCTCATGGTTTAAGGCTAACATTGGTTGCACTTTTTTGTATTATACTCCCACCATTTCAATTTAGATGACACATTTCGTTTATCGAAAATCAAACTGTGTGAAGTTTGACAAATATTTTAAAATATATTTTGTTATCATATTGACATGTGAAAAATTATAACTTATATCACTTTTCGTTTAGTTTTTGAATATTTGAAATTTAATTTTAAAATAGTAAGTTGAACTAATTTAATTTAATTTTAAGATTTAGTCAAATTAACTCTCAATAAGCGAAATGTGTCATTTAAATTGATACAATGAATACAATCGTTCTCAAATGTGCCATCTATGAAATATGATTTTTGTAGGCAATCCGGCTCTTTGCTGGTGACCCAATTTGGACAGCGTACAATCGTCCGGATGCAGATCAACCACCTGCAAGGTCTGTTTTATAAACCTTCCTTATCCTCTTTTTTACTTTGTACTTTGATCATTAAAAAAGGTTAATTATTGGGCATGGACACTAATTAAAGAACATATATACGGGTAAAATCGGGCCCACTGAACACCTCGATTTTCCGGTAAGTCAAACGGAGCAGGAACGTGACCGTAATGAATCGGAGTCAAAGCGAGGAACCCCTTGTATCGGGGCTCGGTGTTGCTCCAAAACGCACACGCAAGTATACATGGTCGTACAAGTAATAAGATGATAAGTCGAGTGTCGAACCCACATAGACTTGTATTAACTATCCACTAAATTCACCAAGATTGTTATTCAGTCGAGTCAATCCGAGTTCAAAAGTGTGACTATACTAAACAATAATTCTAACTAGTAACCAAATTATCAAGCAGCAAAATGATTGTTGTGTATTCAGTAGAGACAAATATTCCAGGGTTGCGATCAATTCACTAATCCTACTGTGTTCTAGTTAACTCTCCCTTTCATACAATTCACCCATGGTTGCTAATTAATCGAACAATTGCTCTCGTAACCTTCTCCCGAAGTACTACTCGCTTATTCAAAATAGATTAACGCCTATATTCCTATGAAATCAATCTATTAAGAACGCATTAAGATTACGATATTTAATTAAACACGGTGACTATGTATATTCCTATTCTAACCGTAAATCCGCCCCCTCTCAAAGTGAAGATCGTGCTCTCTTCAATTCTTCTCTAATATAAATATGGCTTTCCCAAGCATAGCATAGATAGTAAATAGAACCTAACTGCTGGCCAGACAATTAAGCAATTAATCACAGAATTGAAGAAACAACCATATATTGGTGAATTATAATTAAGGTTAAGTCAACGTTAAACAATAATATTAATGGCTAAATCACAATGCCAGAACTATGGGTTTTAGCCATTCATGATAGTAATCAAATAATTTCATAAGTGCTGGATAATTGAAAATACTAAGAAAAGATGAAGAAAACTGAGAAATCCTCGCTCCCCGATGTTTCTCGTGTGTATTTTTCCTTCAAAGTGGCTTCTCCCTTCTCAAAATAGGCTTAGTCTTGCTTTTATACGCGTTGGGTAGGTCTAGGGCCGAAATAACCTTGTCCCGAGCAAAGTTGGAGAAATTCCCGTCACCAGCGTCCAGGGCAGCATGGGGCGCTGGCGCTGACAAATTGAACATTCTGTCCACGGCGCTGCTTGTGGCGCTGGAATTCAACATTTCCCATTTTTCTTCCGTTTTGGCTCTAATCTCGCACCTTTCGCCCTCAATTGCTTCTGGATGATTCCTACACATAAAGACACCACGAATTAATATAAATCAATACATTTTATATCTGAAATCCACAAAATATGAGTAAAACATAAGGCGATATACATATAAATATATATACTTTAAGCTAAATATCAACACCCCACACTTAGACTTTTGCTCGTCCCCGAGCAATGGAACTATTAACTATATCCCAACTACGTACAAATCTCAACTAGAGAGGTGCATTTCAATTTTTGTTTTTAACCATACTCTCTACCCTTGACTATGATCGATACCAGCAATCAAGCATGAACATACAAAATTCACATTCTTCCCGTTTTAAACATGCCCAACTATATCCATCTCAATTCAATCAATTCAAACAACCCATCTGTAACCACCCTACCTCAAAAGTCGACTCGTTACCACTAAGCTCTCTCAACTCGCGCACTTACCCAACAAGAGACATTTACAACATTACCAATCCTTCATGAGATCATGTGCCCTCACCAACAAACAAAAGAGTGAATATAGAATAGTCCAGACATTCAAGTATGCTTTTGAATATAAATTAAGGATATCACACAATTGAACAAAATTCTCTCACTCTCACAAAATATTCATGTGCATCCCGTGGTCGTACCATAATCTTGCCCGTAGTGTACATCTCTACTAATCTAAGCTAGCCAAATCTAGGATTAATTGGGACTTTAAGGTTGTAATGTAAGCTAATGGATGGGTAGGATACATTTAGGAATAATTACTAACCTTTCTAAGAACTTTAATACACTACACTCACAAATCGAGCACATATTCTTCTCAACCTATTCACTCGCCACAAACCATATACAACATAGCCCTTATTTTCATTAAGCACTTCTATACTCTCACTAGCACAAATTAGTAAGATTAGAAGGTGTGTGTTTTCTTACATTATTTGACTATCATTTTTTTTTTCTTGCATTTTTTTGTTTTTCTCTTTTCTTTTTTTTCTTTTTTCTACACACACTCCATACATTAAGGTTCATCGGCTAGTGACCCTGTTTTTTCAACTTTAGTTCACCAAAGGGCCCTTCCATGGTTTTACTCGAAAGCTACTCCCTAATCTCTCACCTTACATCTTTTAGTGACTAAGTACCTTAGATGTTAAAGATTCAACAATCTCAATTAAGATAGTGGTACGACTTGTAATGTGGATGCCAAAGAAAAGGTCTATAGGCTCAAAGGGGCTAGCAACAGAAAATTTTATCTTCAAGTGACAAGCATATCTATTTTCAAGCAAGAAACGCCTACGTTATCTCCTAGATTAGCACAACTTAACAAATTCGCTTCGATTAACACACGGGGCAAGTTCTAGACTACACAAGATAGTACAGAGAATCACAATTCCTCACACACACATTGCACATGACTCAATCAAGACGGTTCTGTTCAACTCTCAAGTCAAACAAACTCATATAATTGAGCAATTTAAGCAATAATGCACTATGTGGCATACAAGTCGAACAACTGAGAAAAGGCGTCACAAAATAGGCTATTTACTTTACTTAGGCATCACAATTCAAACCAAATGCACGAGAAAATAAATCGCACATCATAGCCTAATATGCCAGCACCAAACATGTCACTAGGTATCTCAGAGCAACTCAGTTACTTCCTAACCTACTCCTAATAAAAATAAAGTACCCGGTTCGAGCTACACCCTTGGAAAAGAACCGGCGCCAAAGAAAAACCAAAACCTAACTATCCTAAAAAAAAATCTTTTTGGTATTTTTAATCGGACTTTATCCCTCAAGAAAATTATCCAACAAATCCATCGTCTGAAAAAGTCCGAGATTTTTCTAATTTTTTTTCTTTTTTTTTTCTAAAACAAACTAGACTAAATAAAAACTAATAAAAGAAACAAATTGATACAATTTATACAAAGTACATCACAAGTAGTAATTCTCCGACCCCATACTTAGCATATGCATAGTCCCCGATGCATGTAAAAATGTAAAGCAAAGTAGGGTGAAAGGAAAACTCCGGGCGCATCATCATCAGGTCCCAGGGGCACCAAAGCCATAAGCTCCGTGACATCATCACCAATCTCATCTTCCGTGTCGGAGCCTTTGCAAGTGTGTGTGTCCTTCTACGAGTGAACGGGGCTGCCATGTGCAATCCCCAACATCTCTTTGGAAGAACTAGACAAATCATTGCGTAAATGCATATGCTCCTCGTCTGATACACTCATCCTGCTCATGATTATATTTAAGGAGTTATAGAGATACCTGTTGAAGTTTTCGTCTCTTTCATTCTGTGCTGCCTGAGTGAGCTTAGACGTAGTCTCCAACAAAGATATGATTTCCAACAACCCTTTAGGAACCTCCACCACCTCGTCATATCCGAGGTATTCCGGCACCTCCCGGGAGAGCATATATTGCGTGAGCAAGTTGACAAAGAAAAACCTTTTAATATTCTACCCTAATCGTGTGCGGTCCATCTCCCCCAGCATGATCTCGCCCACATTAATGGGTCTCCCAGTCAAAAATAATATCACACACACTCGAGCTCGAGTGCATTCGCTGTTATGTTCAACTGGCATGAGTCGAGCCTGCACGAAATTCAACTGGCATATATGCATTAAAACCAATCTCCCAAGTATGTAAAATCATTCCCACACACCCCACACTTAGCCCAATATCATATACAACCACACTCGATTACTCAGACTTCACCGGTGCACAAAATACTCATTCAAACATTTGAACAAACACCTTGTGGGCATGAAGTGTGTGCACTTTAGTTTAACAATGGTGGAACATGGTGGCCCTACCAAAGTTTAACGAAGTAGAGGGAATTCTAGTTTACTACTCCGTATACAATACAACCACAACCTAATTTCATCCCAAATTCGGGCCACCCACCATAGAACAAGTCTTAAAAAGCAACTTAGGGGAAACATTTGGGATTAGGGTATTTGGGAGGGTGATGTTTATTCTCATCTACCAATTAAAAGAATAAGAAGAAAAAGAAGAAGAAGACATACTTGTAGGATTTAGGATGAGAGCAAGAAGGAAGCTTGAGAAAATTGAGGGAGAGAAGGAGTGAAGAAGCACGACAGAAGCTTTACAGAGGGAGAGAGTTACGGTGAGTGAGTGAGAGAGAGAAATAAAGTTAAGGTGTTAGAGTTGTATTTTAATTTAAAATGGGTATGGGTATGGATTGTAAGGTGGGTTATAATGTTAGGATATATGGGTCGGGTTTTATGGGTATGGGTATGACCCTAATAACCAAAAGAAAAACTTAAACTCACCCGTACCCCCAGCCCAGCGCCCCACGCTATGCCTGGCGCTGAGAGGTTTGGACATTCTGTAAAGGACGCCCCAGGCAGCGTGGGGTGTTGGCCTGGGCGCTAATTCGCGATTTTTTTTTTTTAAATAACATCCCGATCCCCCGAGCCCTTTATATATCTAATTTACATGCCCCAAATCATTCTACCTATAAATTCTATGTCTACAAAGAAAATGCAAACTCTAGTCTACTCTAACTAAAAACAATTTAAAAACTAAGCTATGAAAGCAATAAAAATTGGGTTTCCTTCCAACAAGCGTCCGATTTAATATCGCGGTACGATGCAGGGCCTCACTTACTCATCAGCGAGTACTACTTTGGTCTTCTCATGATCAATGATTCCTCTCTAATAGTGCTTGACTCTGTGTCAATTCACTAAATATTTTCTTTCACCATTTAACGCGCGCA